TTGGCCAGCGACAATGGTGATGATCAATATCAACTTCTTCACCTGTCTGAATTTGACCCGCGAAGTGGCAAAAGGGAGGATATAGAAAAAGGGATCATGGTATTTGCTGAAAATTGGAACGAAACCATGGAACATCGGAGAACGGAACCTGAGGGGTTTTGACCAAAGCAGGAACCAGGGGCTCTCGTTCGGAGCCTGATCGGCTGTTGCAACCACTGCCGATGCACTGTACTAGTCCTAGCGGACAGAAAAACTGGATCCACTGGGACCAATCATGTTTTGCTTTGCGGAAGGGGCCAAGGTGAGAAAACAGCGTGTTTGTTGCAAAGCTTCACGAACTTGAGATAGCGCCGGGTGGCGGTGTTGGCAAATGTTTCGGGAACAAAAGACTGCTGCTGTTCTACAGTGGTACTTCCAAAAACCTGATATGTTTAATGAATTGCTTGATGGTTGATCCAGTCCAGGATTGTTGCACCTTCATTCCGAATCACGGCTTATGTGGTTATCCGATCCGATGGTTTGTGCAGTTCGTTGGTGTGGAATTCCCGAACCCAACCCAAGCAGACCCAGCACCTGTTTTTGGTACTCCCTGCTTTGCGACACCGAGAGTCACCGTTTAGACGATCCTCCAACACCCTAGAACGACGCACCAGTCGCACCGTGCAAGATCCGGTTGAGGGGCGAAGCACGGGTCGTTACTTTCATCGCTGGCGGATCGCCTAGCAGCTAGCAGTGGAGCATCACCTGCATCTCACCTGTCATGCCCCAATGCATGCCCCAACCGGGCCTTCCAGGTTGAAGAGATTGACTCGGACATCGAGTTTGTCGGTCGCCCTGGTGTGTCGTGTTGGTCACGGAGTTGTGCGGAAACAAAATGCTGTGGGCCAAGGGCATCTTAGGGCTGGCCCGGAGGGATCCTGACGGTCCGTTTTGGACTCCGGGATTCTTGTACAAGATTTTGAAGATGGAAAGCACACATCGCAGGTCGAGTGTTATGGAGACATTGGGGTCTCCCATGTTTTTGCCGTCATGAGCGGCTGTTCGCCAAATCTGGGCACATCGATGTTCGACAAATCATTGCAAACACATTGCATCAACACATTGCATCTTCCACAACCAACGATCATGTGTTTGCAAAAAGCAGGTACCTTCTCCAGTAAGTTCTGGCACGGGTGGACAGGGGGGGAATTATATGAAAGTCGCTCGCGCACAAGTTCTTATATATGCCATTATGTGTTGGAAATGATATGACAGCTGCAGATCCGCACCGTGCTGAGCTGTGCTCCTTGTGATGGATGAGATTGGTTGTGATGATCGTTTCTTCCTCTTCCAATGTCTCTAGTCATTGAGGGGTTTTTCAGGTACAGATCAGATAGCCATGGTTTCAAAACGATCTCCATGTTCTCTGAGCCCAGATGTCTCACGTGTCGCTGCATCGAGTCCAAGACAAGACAGCTTGTAGTGTTTGACTGGCGATTCTCAAGCCAAGAGAATTTTCCGGGTCAGCTGCTAAAGCCTCTTAAATCCTCTGTGAGGCTTGCTGTGTAAGCCCGGACGGCAAACAGCTGTCATGAAACCATCATTTTGGGGCTGCACAAAATTTGAATCCCAAACACCCTGGAGTATCCTGGAGTCCTGCTTCTGGTTGCTCGCTGACCGCGGTCTCGGTCCGGTCTTTCAACCACGCGCAGACTGGAGCAAAGAAGGCGCCAGAGAAGCAGGCCCGGCCCAGCGAAGAAGTGGACGGTCTTTCCGGAGAATCCGCTGGAACGGTATACCCTCCCAACAATCATGGAAGCTGACCAGGGAGCCCTAGAAGTAGAGGATTTCCACGATCTTTCACGTGGTTTTTTGAGGGGCCGAACTGGGAACACTTCCACGATTGTCAGGGAGTGTATCACGAAGGCTCGCATCAGCTAGCAGGAGTTGGTCGCATGGCTTCCAGCCAGCTGTCCGCGAAAAACAGTCCAGGCAAGTTGGGCTTACGGCTGGAAGTCGTTTCCCTTCCCTCTTGGCCTTGTTCACCTGGCCCTGCCAGCTTTCGTCACCTGGCTTCACGAGGATGGTTTTTTTTTTAATCCTCCCAAGGTGATGATCTCAGCTTGTCAATCTCTCCATAGTAAGGAAATTCCGCTGCCAACTGCCAGAAGCTAAATCCCACTGCACGGAGGATGACCCTTGTCGTAGGCTGATATGTTTTCCCTAGAGATTTGAGGAAACCCATCAAAGCGGAATGCCCTAGAACCTAGAACACCCTGCAGTGCATCCAAGAAACCACTTACAGAAGGATCCATGGCTACCGGGTCTTAGCATTTTTCTCGCTTTTTGAAAAAACGGGTTCTGCATCTGAAACTCGGGCTGACCGCGTGGTGCTTCAGCTTCTGCAGGCGGCCAATGGTGGGGATGTCGTATTCCACCCTGAGGCACGTATACATACTTGCATGACCTCACAGACCCTGAGGAATACACACCGTGTTGGGTAGAACAGCCAGCATCGTGGGACCGTCCGGGTTCCTGCTTCTGGAGCGGGGCGATTTCTTGGTTGGGTCAAATTGAGTGAAATCACTAAGGGGATACAAGGGGTACAAACCAGTCACCTTTATCAATCATCCATTTGGAGCATTACCGAGAGACACGTTCGTTTTGGCCCGGTTCTTCGACGGATCTCGACGGCCAACATCACCCGGTTTCGATGGCTTGTTGGACACTGAAGATGTGCCGCAGAATGGACCCATCGACCGCATCAAGCGCCTATAAGCTGCAAACTGGGAGCTCTTCACGACTTCCTGGGGCCCAACGACCTCGGATTCGGACGCCCAAGTAGGAAGCGAACTTGGGGGGGGGGGGGCACAGTCCTGCCCCCCTCGGTCTGAGCGGTTTTGGGCAGATGTTTCAGCGGCCAAGATGAGTCTTTGGTATGCCACTGTATGCTCATCTTCGGCGTTGTTCAAGATAATCGTTCAGCCTGAATGTCTCCGAAAGTGGTGCAAATTCAAGAACTGTGCAGACTTCCCACCACAACATATACGTAGCTGATTTAGCCTGCATGGATCTGTCAGCGTGTCAGCTGTTGGACAAAAGACATACGAGAATGCACCTGAGAGACATTTGGTCCCATTTGGTGCCATGATTCAATCCTCAAACATTTGACCAAATCTGGACATCATCCTTCCTTCAAAGCTTCCAAGTGTGCAGTCGACCCGATGGCTGGCTTGCCACCAGGAGAACAACACACCGAGAAAACCGGAGCTGAGCAAGCCGGAGTCGGCCAAGCAGGTTGCTGAAGTGAAGCAGGCGTGGCTTTGGATGGAATTTATTTCTATAAGTTTCTATATAGTATAATATATATATACATATATTATATCGTTTGTCCAAGGAAATGGGAGATGCCACTGAGATGCCCCAACCAATTGAGGTACCCCTTCGACAGGTAGAGGCTCGCAGGGGTGTTACTTTCAACAAATCATTGACTGGCCACCTGTTTGAGTGGATCGCCTAGCAGCTAGCAGTGGAGCATCACCTGCATCTCACCTGTCATGCCCCAACCGGGCGATCCAGGTCGAAGAGATTGACTCGGACATCGAGTTTGTCGGTCGCCCCGGTTGTGTCGGTGGGCACGGAGAGAAGGTGGAAACAAGGGGTCCCTGTGGGCCAAGGGTGATGCCAGAGGGGCAAAAAGGATTCTGGCCATGGAATTTCTTGGGAGCAAGGATTTCGAGAAAAGCAGAATCCATTGGAGGTTTGGAAGGTGCCAGATGTTTGGTGGAAGCTAAGTGTTGCAGGACCAGTGTATTCGTGCATGGGGGATCATGGGAGAACGTGTGATTTATGTCCACAGCCGCTCCACAACGTCTCCAGGCTACAACAATTCCAGGCACACAAAACGATATTTACGACGCGCATCCCCACGCTGCTTCTCCGGATTTGATAGAAACAAAGTACCATTTGACAACAAGATAAGATAAGATAACTACATCATCCGGAAACAAAGGTAGGGCTACTATACATGAACACACGCACGCAAAACTTGATATCTCTCTAATATATATATATATAAGATATATATATATAATAGCCTAATACATACTATACATACATATACTGATCCTCTCTGTGGTGACCTCGCTTTGAGGTCTCGGAACAGACCTTTACGGTAGACATGAGAGAGGAGCTGAAGGATGAGGAGCCGTGCAGCTAATGATTGGGAAAGATGGAGTATCATGTTTCCGTCACATGCTTCAAATGGAACCAGAAGATGGAGACAAGATCTCGTACAATACCCTTTCTGCTGAACCATGGGCCTCTAGCAGTTTTGGTCACAGCTCGGGATCGTGCCGGCCGGTTTCAAAACAGCGTATCTCTCTTCAAACACCTCAATACAAGCCAGTTGGTGTTTGTTGGTGATTTTGGGAGAGTTAGGAGTTTTTCAAGGCTCTTGAACGAATGGCTTGATGGATCTGAAGACTTGTAACAACTAAGTTGCATCTCAGCCTTTGACGGGATCACTTCAGAGCAACAGGAGAAACAGAGAGGTTGTTTCGAAGAAACCATGCTGGAACCGTGACCTTTTGGTGAACTGTAGGGTATTTTGTAAGTATGCATCAACGCCAGGTGAAAAAACTTGAACAAACTTTCTCAGTCTTGACCATGCTAGGCACCAACTGGAACAACATGAACATCACCTCCAACTTTTGATGAACCCCAAAACTGGGACTGGGACACTGTCTGCCATGTCTGCCACACACACACAGCTTTGATGCACATATCACATATCTTATTGATTCTTATTGCATTGTGCCATCTACTCAACTCTGAAACCACTGCAAAGGTGCGTGCAACGAAGCCACGTAACATCGCGAAGAAGGGGGGTCACACCTTCACATGCATGGCCCTCTTCAAATCCATGACCCCCGCCAGCTGTCTGGATTCGAGCAAAGTCGCTGCTTGAAGCAAGCCCTCCGAAAGAGGAGCATGGGCATGGGCGTTTCTGCACACCACGAAGCAATCGGAGGTTCTAGCTACATCACCCGCTAGAGTCACCAGGCAATTGGGAGACCTCCACATGCCACAAGTTGTGCAAACTAGACTCCAGTGAATCATATGCAGAGCACGGTGTTGGGTGCAACCCTTCATTCTAACACCGGACGAGGAGAGGATCAGGCCTTAAGACCACCACATCCACCACATCCGTCTCGGCGTCGGCTGGAACCTATGGCCGTAAGCCCTCCGGGTGTTCTAGGCCCCATACCGCAGGGTCTCGGGCGCGAGGTCTCGGTCGCGGGGGTGAAGAGTGAGGGGTGCCAAGATGAAGAGTGACGCTGCAGTAAGAATGTTGAAGGGTGAGAGCTAAGGCAAATGAAGAGTTCCTTTCTTGGTGGGGCAGCATTCCTGAGAGCCCAACCTTTGGAGCGCTGGGCTGAGGGGAAGTGGTAAAGGACTCCGAGGACCTAGAACTCATTGAACTGTAGGTCAATACCAAATCTTCAAACATTGATAGCTTCACATTCCTGCTAGTCCACGACCGCAACGCTGGATGTTTCCCTTAGCAACGCGTCCTGGCGCTGGTCACGGTCCACTCCAACGAGAGAAAAGTGAGCATGCATCCCAAGGGCGTTGCTCTAGGCATGCCTTCGTTGTCTTTGGTTTTTGGGAGAGGCCTTGCTCCAAAAATGGCCTTCGGATCATTTCCAAATGATTCATGTTGTTCCCTCAGCATGGAAATGGACTGCGGTGTTCGGATAGGAGCTGAAAGGGCTGCCGGGTGCGTCGTGGGAGTCGGGCTAGCACCTGTGCCTTGTATTCAAGCGACACTGCGGTCTGTGGCGGTTGGTGGCGACACTGTCTGTGGCGGTGAACAAGCTACTTGCCTCCCTGAGACACTTCATGTATGGATATGTATGACCAGCTACTTACCTATGTACATAGACATACATAGACCACTCTTCAACCCCAACTGATCGGTCAAGATGGACCCGGTCGACCGGGTCCGGCGAACGTGACCCACACACGGTCACCGCGCCAGATGAGCCAGCAGCGCCCATGGATGCGCCACGCCACTCGGCAAACCTTGCCCAGAAGGTCAGGAGGTTGAGGACCACCTGACCACCCCCCAAAAAAAGACCCATTCTTCATCTACCAGGTCCTGAGAATCACTGAAGGGACCGGTATACCAGGTCCTGTTCATCAGCGCGGCGTACTGGAGGGACACGATTGGATCCTTTTCGTCGCCAGAATGGTCAAGACATGTCAAGACCTGCCTGATGCTGAGATTCTTTGCTCGATGAGCGCGAGCTGTCGTCGGCGATCGCCGACGCGATGATCGAGCAGGCGCCGCCGGCGCTTCGCGCTTCGCGGCTGGTCGATGCGGGCAGGGCAGGTAGGAAGCGATCTGGGTGGCAACTCGAGATGGAGAGACATGTCGGACATTGCGCACCTCTAAAAAACGAGCAATTTAAAGCAAGAGGCTTGTTGCATCAGACTTTTGCGCTTGATTGCGTGCCTCCCAATCATCAGAGGTACGCATATCCAGATTTTACTTCTTTTGGAAACACTCGTTTGGTTGCTTATTATACATGAAGTCTAAGGAGATTGACATAGATTGACATTACCAACTCATGTAATGAATTACACGTCTTTCGCACTTGAGTCGTTTCAAGGTTCCTCAACCGTTCTCCTCTTTTCTACAATAGTGGTCGGACCCGTTCTTTGCCAGCAAAGTTTCTATCTCTGCTTGCGGTGAACGTGAACATGCCGCGAACCATGTGGCCCAGAACGGCGCCGCAACGCCGAGCGATGCGGAGATGGAGACCAACCCTTTTTCCCAGTGCATGTTCGACTGACAGGCTGTCTAGCATGTTCATGCCATTTGCGTCGAAAGGAGCACCAAAACATCTCTGAACTAATGTCTTGATCCTCAGCACATCTTCGCATCTCACGAGTAGAGACTGACGTGTTTGGCCCGTCGTTCGCGGTTATTTCTTGGTGCAGCGTTCTGACCTTTGTTTCAATTTTTCATGATGTTCCATTGGGCTGCCTTTCCCCCCATGGCCCATGCACTATACTTGTGATCTTTCCATTGTGTACCCTTGAACATCTTGAAAGGAGCGCCCAAATTCCATCCACTTGGCGGAACATCGTCAATGAACCGAAAGAACCTCGCTTCGTTCATGGATGGCAGAACCCAATTCGCCAAAGCCAAAGCCATCATGGATTCGCAGAAAAATTGTCCTGGAGAAAACCTCATAGACTCATAAGCCTCAATGATCGAGTCTCGGGTCCTTTTTTTTGCACTCGAACCGAGGTGTCACCTGTGTCCTGGACTTGCTAGGTGCATCTATACTGGGTATTAATTGCGTGGAATTTCTGCATTCACGGGTAGGTATTGAAGACTCCCTTGCCAAAATAGAAAGACCAGTCCAAGTCAAAGAAGATGTTGTACATTCTCCATGAAGGATCTTGGAGAGTATCTTGGAGTGATCGGGACCATTTCCTGCAAGGAGATGGCCACAGGCGAATGATCCTTGCCTTTAGGCCCTTTTGAGTCCGTTCTTTCCGATTCCATTTCGCCCGTTGATCGTTTTGGGCAGTCATCTGGGCAGGGCCCTGCAGAACCTGCAGGGCAGTGGCGACATTGGTATCGATGCACTTATTGTTACTGTACTGGCAATAGCAGTAATGCACTTGCACTTGTTACTGGAACACAATGACTCGCAGCACAAGTCCCTGTGTTCTTCTTACACAATCTGCTGAGTGATCCAGACCACTCCGTGTAACACAGCGACCGCGGTGGAGGGACGTGGCGGACGTGGCGATGCTTTTATAGCTTGTGGTGGGTTAAAAGCTGCTTCCTGAGCCACTCAGGCGGTATACTCTGCTATATAAACCGTTGTAAAACCGGGTCGACGGATGCGGGCTCATCCCCGGACCTCATCCCCGGTCGCAAGACCCGGTTCGGACCTCGCGCGGTCCGGCGTGGGCAGAAGTTGACGGATTGGTCCATGGACCACTGGCTGTCCGAAGATCTCAAACTGTGCATCTCAAGCCTTGTGGACACGAAATCAAGCTCAATATCTCAAATCCACATTTCGGCTTCTGGAAGTCTCGTGGTTTTTGTTTGTGATGATGTGGCTGTCTTGGTGGAAGACATACGATAAACATGATATAATGCAGTAAAGAAGAAGGACTTATAGAATCATCGGCTTCTGAAATTCCATGCGATGTGGTTTCTATATATAGATCTCAGTTGGAGAATGGATGATATGGATGGCAAATCTGCACCTTCCAATTGTCTCCAAGCACCACCACCTCCGCCCTGCCCCGAGCATGTTCATCTGACCTGCTCGCACTGGCAGGTGCTTTCGATCTTGCAAAGGCGACTTGGGCGATCAAAGCAGGCATCAGCCGTTTTTTCTACCGATGCGGAGCAGCTGCGAGGTTGCGGGCTGCGAGGTTGCGGGCATGAGAGCATATGAAAAGAATGGAAAAGAGCTCAGCGAAGGTATCTCTTCTCCACTCAACAGGGAGTCGTTGGCGGGAGTTCGTTCCAACGTTTCCGGTCCATCGATGTCCAGCCCACCTGGTCGTGTGATGACGCGAAGAAGACGAATTTCATCGGTTTGACCGGCTTCGTCGCGCGAGAACGACACCGGCCGGTGGGGGGGAAGTGAGACCTGCATGGAACCCAAACGGAATTCGATCATCTAGATTGATTCGAAAAACGACCAGGAAGCGTTGCACCTTTGCAACACCTGCAGTGTCCCAAAAAAATCCCAAAAACGTCATAGATACAAGGGTGCTTTCCTCCGGGAACATGCTTCCCGCCCCCAAAAATGTGGTGGCACAGCTCTGTTTCAGGTGAAACTGTCCAAAAACCTTCAGGTTGCCCCAGTCCGCAAACACCACGCTCCTCCCAAGGTTGCGGCCCTTCATTGCCTACGAAGTGCAGCAACGGTTGAAGTCGCACTCGGCTGAGGCACGGCAACGGATCCCAAAAGTTGCAGAACTGGCCAACCCTAAGAACCTGGTTTAATCAAGGACCATCAGTTCGGTGAAGGTGTTGAGGATCCCAAACCCCTGCTATGCAGGGTCAAAACCCTCCATAAGGAGGGTCGAATGATTCTTAGGGCAGGTCACCTCCATGGTCGTTGGGTCGTATGTAGCCATCGGTGGGTCCGTGAGGTCGTCTCCTTTCATCCGGCCTTCCTCCACCCCTGAGCGGTCTGGACGTTGGGGATCCCTGCCAAGCTGGGTGAGTTCGGGAAGTCTTTGGGCGGCAGGTGGGGTCTCCTTCCCTGCCAGTGGTGCCAGGTGCCAGCGATGCGCCGGCAGATCTCCCCGATGCAGCGGCAGCACTCACCTTTCCAGACATTAACAGGGCTTGCGCCAAGCTCACTGGCAGGGCCACTGCAGGAGAAGATTCCCCTGCCACGATGGATGGGCGATGGAGGCGAGAGTGAACAGATCGAATCGCCGCGTGGTTTTTGTTGGCGATGAGTCGATTCTGAACGACTGAAAGACTGAAAGTGAAAGGCATGGAAGTGGCCTGCACATTGGAGTCATCAAAAAGGTTCAAGTTGAATGGCTAAGGCATGCTTCACATTTGGAAGGCGCCCCTTGGAGAACTTGCCTCTCAGAATCACCTCTGTTGGGGTAACGAACTAGCAAGTGGATTCTGACTCAGCTCCCGACCCTGTTTCGTTGCTGGAAGGGGTTGCTGGATATGACTAAGCGGAAGAGGTTGGAGTATAGATAATTGTTTGGGACAAAAGCATACAAAAGCAAGTTCTGACCAAGCAATTGTGGAGAACGATGAAAGATGAACATCTTTATTTGTGGACGAATCATGTCCAACCGCCAGCTGCTGGCCGTCTACATTCTGATCCTAGGGGACACCTGCAGAACCAGATTCAGAGCCTTCTCACCTGACTGAAGTCAATTGGCGAGAGACTGGGGCAGTTGGATTCGGACACTTCCACTGTGCCATGCCAACCTACGTAGCAGCGACTCTCACCGGCGAGGACGATGTTCTTATCTCCCAAGCATCTCGAACTGGAAGTTTACCTCAGGAACTTAGGACTTAAGACTTCTCCAAACTTCAAAGTCCACATGGACCCCAAATGTGATATACCAATCAATCCATGATCAAATCCATAACTGTTCCTCGACTCCACGGCACCCGTGTGAATCTCTGTCGAGGTGGCGGCTGGAAGAGCCGCGCTGGCAGCGTCGACAGTGCTCACAGTCTTAGTCAAGGCCTGAGCTCCGACCGTCGGGGCGAGAGGGCCGCTTCTGTGACAAGTCGGTGGGTCCCGATTCGCGGTGGAAGGGCGGGCGCAGATTTAGTAGACGAAATGATGCATTCATATCAATATCTACTCGAATCTACTCTCTTGATGGAAAGGTCCCATCCTTTGGATCTGTCCGAAGGCATTACACTCTCTATAGACTCGTCAACTGATCTCCTGACTTGGGGAACAACACGACTGGCAGCCAGTCGGTCGTGTGCTTCTCGTTTCCGCCACCTGGACAGACTTCAGAGCATTTGATCCACTCTCCGTGGGTTGCTACATCTCTCCGTGGGTTGCCTGTAGAATCATGTAGAAACATGTTGGTGGGCAGGGTGTTTTCACCGAACTTGATAAAGAAAGTACGTGGTTTACGAAGCAATTCCATTCATGGTTGGTGGCTCAAGCCGGAGCATGCCCTGGAGATCTGGAGCATAGCTTTTGCGGGGAGGATGGGGCACAGCGTTGGATTCGTTTCAGTTTCGGGAGACATGTAATTGCCGAGTCCAAACATGACTTAAACATGAACATGAATACTGCCAATCCTCAGTAGAGCAAGTCAAGAATTTGGACTCTTCCAGGTGAGAAGGGCGAGAACGCTCATGCTTGGGAGCAGTCGGTGGAGAAGATCGAGAAGGTCCTAGAGGAGCGGAGCTCGAACACGCCCAAGAAGCTCCCAAAAGCCTTGTCAGGCCGGATCCAGCGGGAACCTCGTCGTCCGGATTTTCGCTTCGAACCTCCTCGTCAGTCCGGTGACACGTCTCGTAGGTCTCCGGTTGGGATCCCTTGGGTGCCCGATCTGACCCACTCCGATCTGACCAAGCACCCGGAGCACCGTTCCAGCGGAATGCATCGACTTCGTCGTTCCGAAGAGACCGAGAAGACCCGGAGCCCTGGGCCCATCGTCAGCGTGTCACATCCCCATCCGGCCGTGGGTTGATCTCCCAGGAGCCTGAAATCGGTTGATCTCCCAGATATATAGCTCTGTTCATGTTCATGTTCTGTGGTCAACCAGGGTTCAACGGCTTTGACCCACGGCCATCCTTGAATTGAAATGAGTTGAAAGGGAAGTGACTCGGCTTGGCCCAGGTAGCTTGAGAAGGGAGTCAAACAAGGCATAAGGCATATTTGTTATCCTTCTGAGTATGCCTCATGCTGTTTTGTAGCCTGACTAGGGCTTCGTTGCAGAGTAGCTCCAAGTAAGAAGCTCAGTGTGGGACCTCTTTAGATAATATTGCTAAATCCATCTATAATATATATATATATATATACAACTCCCAGAATGAAGGCTCCAACGTAAAGCCTGTCGCAACCATTTGGGTGCGCTGCAGTGGTGGTTTGAAACCCGAGAGTCTTAACCGAGCGACTAGAGGAAGCAGACTGGGTCGGCCTTGCCAGCTGTGTGTGTTTTCCAACACCTCCACACCTCCTCAATCCTCCACACCTTCCCCTCCGCCAGGCATGTCGGGCTGCTTCCCGATCCTGGAGGCCTCCCCTGGGACCGATGCGCAAAGAGATTGCATGAGTGGAGATCACTTTCGAGTGCGTGGATGTTGAACTTGCCTTGCAAAGCAGTTCGGGACGGAGACACCAAACCCATGCGGATGACCTGAGGCCTCGAATCATGTTTTTTTTCATCATATTGGTGACGTTTCTCGTTTGGTTAAACGCTGTGAATGGTCTTACTATGCAGTTGTATGCGTTACTGGCTGTTGAAGATCAATGATGCCAGGAGGGAGGATTGGTCCACAGCATGTTTGGCTGGATTGACATATTACCATGTACGTATCATGACAAGGTCTGACGGTCTGACGTCTTTGCCGAACACATTTACCATTAAGAATCATTAAGAATTAAATGATAAATTCTTTAAGACTTTTTCAAATGTCGATGGGAACTGTTTGTGCTGTTTTGTATCGTGTGCAAGGAAAATGTACTTCCTATCATTTGGACGAGCTCAAGTTTATAGGTCGCAGTGAAGCCACTCGTTCTTGGTAAATGGTCAGACCCTGTTGTCTCTTTGGGTAAACGTCTTGCATGCGCGACTCGGTAGTCAACTGATCATCCAAGTGGGGGTATCCGCGCCTGCCAGGAGAGAACGACTGCAAAGCAGTTGCAATGCCAGTCGGAGGATCTGCAGGCAGACAATTTGTGACGAGTTAGACCAGCAGACACGAGCCAGAATTTGCTCGGAAAGCTAAACACTAAGCAGCCTAATCGGACTCGAAAGTGGTCCCCTTCGTGTGTTCATGATGTTGTTTGCCTGTTAGGCTATTTCACACCCTTTAAACGATGCCGCGAGTTCAGAAGCCGCCGTTCGATCGAGGCCATGGCGGCTTTGCATCTCACTGAGTCTGTCGCCACTTGACACTGTCGCACTGTGGTACGATGGCACTCAAAAGTTCTTTCAAACAGTGGGAGCACACACGGAGGTTTGGATATGGATAATATGGATTGGGTTTGTCCGAACCTAACCGGAACAGTCAGTTAAACATTTTGTTTTTTCAGAAGGCCTTACTAACGATCATCGTCCACTGTTACTGATCAATCGGATAGACCCTTTCGATCTGTCCAACAAACGCACTGCAACTGGTCTGTCTGTGCACGCCCCGTGACGCCGTAAACGGAGGCGTCACCGGGGATCCCCCAGATCTCATGAGTCAAAGAGTTGGTGTGCCAGAAACTGCTTGAGAATCCGGATTCCCATGTCGGTGCCCATCGACTTGAGACGATCAGTTCGGCTCGTGCGTCAGCCGAGCCAAGCACCGAGACGATCAGATTTTCGTAGCTGAAGCTGAAAGGGTAATGGTCAGTCAATCATCAAGTATTTCCACTGGTCTCAGGGGCCTCTCGCCACCGGAAAAGGAACATTTTGAGGTCGAGTCATGTCCAATAGATTCTGCACCTGCCACACGAAATGTCCTGCGCTGCCGAATTTCAGCATTTTCAGCCACCCTTTCCACAGCCGTTGAGCATCCGAAGAAGGGCATTTGGTCGGGCGAGCAACGCAAATCTTCATTGACCTGCGCTGAAAATGGGCATAATGCAATGCCACCCCTTCTAGATTTACCAAAGATGTTTTTCCATAAGAAGAAGCAGCACCCCTAGATAGGCCCTAGTTCCCTCATTGGGTCCCCACTAATTCTTTCTTCTTGGTGGGCGAATCAGTCTGAAAGTTTTCTGCAGCAAACCGTCAAGGAGCCTATACCACAGTAGCTACCCCCATGACTGGTTGACCCAAAACACCGTCGCTTCGTCTTCGTTCTCGTCTTCGTTGCGCCGCACCACCTCGGAGCCGCCCAGGGTCGCAACAGCAGGCCACCTGGAAGGGTTGAAAGTTGGATGAGTCGACCTTGGAAGGGTTCCTGGTGGTTCCTCCTTGTGGTTCCCCCTTGTGGTTCCCCACATGATTCTGACCAGAACCCTCGGAACCAGCAGAACCGACAAGCAGAACCGACTCAGCAGCTCACCTGGGCCTTGGGTGGTTCTGTCTCCGGGTTTGTGTGGCGATTCGACACTTCGGCCTGGTGGTTCTGTTTCACAGCTGAAAAACCACCAACTCATCTGATCATCCCACTGATGCCAGGGTGCGTGGGAGCTGGTGACCTACCTCTTAGGGTGAAGCGGTGTCCTTCTTGTTAGAGATGGCACGTCTCCGCGTTCCAAAACAACACCTTTTTTTCTCCTTTTGCTTGAAGTTTTTTCAGATCCAAGCCAAAAATCCAATGGATGGTGAATGGTGAGTCACCAAAAAGGAATTGATGTCAAATAATACACTCCCGAAAACTAACATGGACTCAGGTCGAATGGGACCCGGACTCAGAACTGTTTTCCAGCAGTGGTGACTCCGCCGGGTCCATGTTGGGGACTCCACCGGGTCATATCTTCGACCCATGCGAGATCCAGTGGAGTGATCCTTTCGAGTCTGGAATATGAAGTTTCAGAGATGGGTTGTTTGCAAAGACCAAGGATTTTGTTCGAACGAGCAGAGCGAAGGGTCTCACACGAACTTGCGGAGGCGCAGTCGGCGGACTCGAAGAACCTTTCTCCATCGACGTTCGGGGAATTGGGTGTTCGAGACTCACGTAAAGAAGAGGAGGAACAGCCCTGGGCTGTGCTACGAAACATCCAGAACTGGGCGATCATGGAACCGCCATGGCTGAAGAACGTTGGACACCATCCCGTTTTGGGTCCTCAGGTCGTCCGGTCACGGCCGTCACCACGTCGGCACCACGTCACTGGACATCTGGCTGAGGCACGGCTCCAAGAGCGGAGATCGCTCGCAGAGCAAGATGAGTCAATTCAGCTCCACCAGCGGAGTGATCGAGAACCGTCCGGCGGCCCAGGCGGCGGTGTGTTCGGCGAAGCGATGTCGTGGGCGATGTAGGTCGAAGTCGGAAGAGGATTGCTTGGTAAAAAGTGAGGACACTGGTTACGGAAGTTAGATGAACTTATGTTAGATAAACTTAGACCTAAAGAATCAATCATACCTGGAGACCCATGTGAAACTGGTTCGGTTCTACTATGTCGGGGATTCTTTGCATCCGTTGCGGTCCTCAAGACCCAGGGTTTTCTGAAGCTGGTCTCCCTCACAAATCAGTTGCGGCACTACATCCGGACAGAAAGCCGTTTTTTAAATTCCGCTTCCGACATCCACCCCAGAATGCAAGGTTGAAAGTTGAACGTATCGATATTGAGCCCGATGTTTGTTCAGACCTCTCATCGGCGGAATTTGCTTCCCGTCTGTGAAGAGCACATCCCACTGGCATGAATTCATTGAAATTCCCATAAATGACCAACATATTGGATGAAACATAAATTGAGGCGGTAGGATGACTCCGGTCAACTCAGAGTGACATGCGCTAGATTCCAGAGATGGGACACGCATCACACGAATCAGACGCCTCACGAATCAGACGCTTCAACCAAGTCGCGGTGGATCTGAGCTTCTCAAAACCCAAAGGCCCAGGTCCGGTCCAGGCCGCTGTCGTTGGCCTCCAAGGGGCGAAGATGAAGGCGGCGAGGAAAGCGGCCACTCGGTAGAGATGTCGAGGTCGGGTCGGGTCGTCGGGTCTATTTGGCACCATGTATCCAGCATGGCATCAATGCCATGATGTTTGATGGTTTTGCTTTCACTGCAGCGGATGTGTTCCGGGATTTTTGCGAGAGAAGATGGAAGGCGAGAATCGATAAGATGGAATGCCATCTAATTACTTGAGTTTTTTTCCACCAAAAGACCTGGATTCGAATTTGTAAACATGCGTGGTCATGACCCTTTCTGAACCCAAGTCTTAAGCATTTGTTGGTTGTATGAACACATCTTACCCTAGTGATCCATGTTCATGACCCTGAAACGTGCGGCTCCGTGAAGAGGCTGGGAGTCTATAAAGTTGATTTTCTGGTTGCATTTCCTCTGAATCAGCAGTCAACTGACGCGTGATCCACAACTTACAGGTGATCTACGTCCATCAACGAATGTTTAACGAACGAATGATGACTATCAGATACTAAATGAAACGTTGAAACTATGATGAATTAAACTACTATGATCCATGGGAAGCCAAATCCATCCATACCATCCAAACAGGGAAGGCCAAATTTCTCCATTCCATGAGGCCATGACCCTGGATGATCGCCACCATGTGCTTCCGGGCGCCTGGGCTCTCCGACCGGTCGAAGCAGGACTCAGGTCTGTCGAACCAGTGAATTCTTTGGGTCAGCCCAGATGAACCCTATACACCTAGCGTGCACCGGATTTTGGGGGGAGTTCCAGAAAGGGCGAAGCCTGATGCACTATAGTGATGAACCAGTTTCGGACACCGAAAGACATGAAGCGACGGAACTCCACCCAAACAGACCCAAACTAGCACTCAAACTCATATTATGGTTTGTAGATGATCCTCCCGACCAAAGACACCAGTCCAGTACCGAAGCCTGATGCACACGATCGACTGTTGCTGACTTAGGAGACTCATTTCCGGAGTTTGACCTACGGTTTAATGAACAATAACTTACTGTGTAGCTCATAGTAGCTCTATAAATAAGTAAAAAAAACAACAAACATTAAAACACTAATCACTACTCAGATTACTCAATGCACTGCATAGTAACTCGTAACTCTTGATGCATTGCTGGAACCCGGTCGTCTAGTTTTTAAGCCGTGATTGCATGATGGTGGGACCCCAGCCGCACACCATTCTAACCAAGGCGACTGAAGATTTGGCGGAACAAAAATAACGAAATGGTTCTTCCGACAAATGCTGCTGTTTCGTCTCTACGGGACAAGGTTTCCCAGCCTCACGAATCCTCACAAATCTAGCCTTAAAAGGGACATGTTGTTTCACTTTGGCAGACCCTTGGCACCTCAACGAATGAGGCCTGAAGGAATTCGTGGGCGAAGGCCGCGAGAGAGAGAGAGAGAGAAAGAAAGGGAGGGCGGAGGGAGAGGGAGGCGTGAAAAACTGTCAGTTCCCTGGCCCTAGCCTTTAAAGACGATTAAAAGAAGACGTGGTGGTGCAGTGTAAAAATCCGTAAAATGGTTCTTTGGGGTTCAGACCGAAACAATAGGTTGTTCGACAAAAAATGACTATGTCAATTTCTGAAGACCAGTATGAAGACCTCTGGATCACTGATGGGTCATGTTTAGTGTCGTGTTTGTGGGTGACTCAGTCGGATGCTTCATGTGCGATAGATAGAACACAGATCGGTCACACAGGGTCCGTCACATGGGTCCGTGTCTTCGCTCAGGTCCGTAAGTCACATGGGTCCAAACTGCAGCGGAAGTGACCAAAAGTTCTGAGAACTGTCTTTCTGCACAGGACTGTTTTTCATGTCCAATCTCGGATGCGCTGACAACTACATGGTTCATCATGGTTCAAATCCAAACTGTTCAACACATCACATGCATGTGATGTTTGTTTTTTTTTTAACCAGATGTGGTGGTCTGGGAGATTGACCATCCTTCGACCCATTTCAAACCGTACTGCTGTACTGTAGGGTTTTGTGGCGTAGGCATGTGCAGGCCATGTGGATCATCTCATCACCCAATCAGTCGATCTGGCTTTTCATGACACGAACGAGTTCGAGGGAATGCATCGGACTTATGATATCATTTCGATTGGTTTTGGCGTTGTATCCAGAAGCAACACACCAAGCCACGAGGCAATTCGACTAAGTGGACTCTTCAGTCCAACAGACATCAACAGACTAAGTTTCACTAAGTTTCCGATGGCAATCGGCACCACTAAAGCCCGGCCATATATACAGGTTTCTTGTGACGTGCCATGGATATCCGTGGATATCCATGGATCATCATGGATCTAGTCTATTCGCGAGTCTCACTGACATAGAATAGATTTTGTAATTCGTAGTAGGAATATCATCTAAGTCACCGATGTTCACATTATTTGTGAATTGGAAGAACACAGAGGTCCCTGGTCCATGCTGATTCCATCTTCCAGGTTTGATCACTTGGGTACACGATGGTACACGGTTCTTACGGCAAAACCAAGGGGAGAAACAAGCGGAACTGAGGCCGTTTCTTCAAATGTTTTGGCGATTCTCCTGCAACTTGAGTGACCAATACGAGATCGTTGCGGTGAAGCTTTTCGTGTCCGGTGATTGACCACCCATTTGATGGCGTGGAACAAGTTGTTTTCAACATGGGTGTGTTTTTAAATAGACTCACAACCAATGGGTTTTGGATGGCTTTGGTCGATTTCCCTTGTGCCAGCGGTTCCCGCTATTGTAATACACACTCAACTGGTGGATCTCTTGGGAACTATTATATATATAATGTATAATAATTAGTTAGTTACCTTGGACCAAAGTTCACCAATTCACACCCTTCAGTCAGACTGCTACCTTCACGTGTTGTGCTGCTTTGGGCTACCGCGCGGACCGCGGCGTGCGCACGGGCCAAAGACTTGGAGGTTTGATTCCAGATGCACCTCCCGAACCTAGCAGGACACTTGGCTCGCTTGCTTGGCTCGCCGAACTGTGGTTGGGAACATGCGGTTCGTCAAACCGTGCCGTGGTTGGGTCATGTCCAATGAACGTCCCACCATGTCGGAGTCTTCCAAGAGTTCTAAGTCAGATGTTGGAGATTTTGATCATGTTTGGTCATTGCCTGGCAGCCAGGCTCCGGCCTTGAGAGGCATGCGCAAATGGAAAAACAGATCATGGCCAAAGCTTTCATGGATGAGTTTTTTGATGTAGACTCTTGATTCATAACACACCTTTTGAATTGGAAGTCCTCTTCATATGGGGGGTTTATGGTCCTCAAGAGTCTACCTTAAGTTGCAACGACCTCTTTATTGCAAAATCTCCCCTTCTGAACCTCAGATCGTCCACGAGCCACTCGGCGACAGGAGTCGTTTTGTGTCCCACTGGGCACCAACAACATGAACCACCTGAAACAACGCACGGTGATATTCCTACTGTCCTACTGTCGTGATGTCCCAGGGAGTCTTGCTGCGTCGATGTTTGCTGTCGTCATAAAACTCTGATATTTCAGCGGCATTAGAACGCATTCCGAGAAACACGTGTCAACTGGCTTTTAGCAAACTTTGCAAACACACACTGCACGCTGACTTGGGCAAGCACACCGCACACGTGGGGGAACCCACAGCAAACATGGGCAAACACGCTGCATTCAAAACATATGTTTTATTGACTTGAGGTCCAGACCCCGGTTGAGTCAAAACGCCGCAGTCCTAGAAAATTAAAACTGTCGCGGCATTCATTCAAAGCATACCAGTGGGGTCTCGAGGTGTACATATAGTTTATTATATTTATCATATTAAACGATCGAACATGTATTTATATAAATATGTATCGTCACGTATCGTCGGTATATTCAGTATATATATATATGCCACCTGAAGGAAGAAGATCAGTAGGCCAGCCACGGGGAGAAACGGATATTGTTTGAACAGGACGCCCTATATATATATATATACACAGCTATACGCCCTTGTTTTGCATGTTGACAGATTGCAATGATATGCGATAATCGTGCCACCCTGATCGGTCCCTGAGTTTTCTCAGGACCGCATCTTTATACCCTTCTCACCGTTTTCACGGTCGGTTGAAGAAGCATATTCTCTGGGCACGTAGAAGAAGGTTACCACTGATTTTGAGCACTTTTGCTTCATTGGCTACTTCCTGTCATGAGGCGGGTCCTGAGGGACTGGGTCCTTGAAAGTAGTCACTCGGTTTACCGGACCCTCAGCTGGTGGATCCTGGATCCTGAGGACTCCCAAGAGAAAGATCTCGGTCAGCATGACCAGGGCTGTGAGCAGTGCGCCACGTAGCAGATCACGCGCGCCACCGAAGTTTACGTCAGATGATCCCAGAACGACCTGAAGAGTCCCAAACGGGGGTCTGTGTGCGGTCTCGTTTGGGTTCGCTGACCGGACCTCTGACGACTTGTCTAGAAGCCAATGTTTAAACATTCCTGGGAGGCATTGTTCTGTGTGTTCTCTCAGTTTGCTCCAAACTCGGGTGCATTTTTGTGCCTCTCCTTTGGTGTTAAGGAGCTTCTTCTACCAACGGGAAGAATGTATGTAGTTATATAGTGTACATACAACAGTTCAGTTCAACGACTTAGAAAGCCCAGAACATGACCTTTTGAGCTTGTTGGATGTTTCTTGTCTTCTTATTTCTATTGTTTGCAGGGTTCCATCTTCAGCTCACTTTGTGGTACAAGTCCTTCCATGGAGTCCAACTACACAGGGTCAAAGCTGGGACATGTCCATGTCCACCACAAAGCATTTCAGTCCTTGTGGGAAAAAGAGAAGAATTTGAAGATTCTTTGGCTTCAATGGACTTTTCATGTGTTCGTTTTTCATCTTATTTTTTTGCAATGTGGTCCATCAGTCCCTCTTTTGTTTCTTTTTGCCTCATGCAATCCACAGGACCCAAAACATTTCTTGCATGCGAAGTGCGAAGTTGCATCGCTAACTCGCTCTCGTCGCACTCGTCCGGTGAACCAGCTCGCTCGAGAGTTGTTCGATCAAGACTCCAAGACCCTTTGTGGGCGCAACCGCCCAAGTGATGATGAGAATTGTTTTTTACGGGTCAAACCTCCTGCCTGGTTGTTTCTTGTTGCATCTTGTTGCCAAACCGAGTCAGGACTGAACAAGCGCTTGAAGATGCTTGAACCCTTTGAATCGATATAATTTTATAATTAGCACATATCTTGGCTCACGTCTCGCTTTTGATTCACTTTTCTTGGCTGCAAGTACCCCGAAAAATATGAACAAATCAGCAGACACTTACGCGTACTTGTCAATGCATGTTAGGAGCATGCAATCAGTCTCCCATCCTGGGTAACACCGCAACAGCCAGTACCTTGATCTATACTTGGACGTGCCTCGGGATTTTGTATAGAACAACATCCTCCAACAAACTTATCCAGTCTGAGCAGCAGACATCGGCGTTTGCGCCGTGATCACTGACAGATTTCTGGAGACCCTCAAGCGAATTCACCAATCTCGCAAAGCGAATTCACCTGGACACTCAACTGCAACCGCTGAACCGCAAGCACCTTTGCGCCCATGAAAAAAAAGAATTTGGGTCCTAGGTGGTGACGCAGGTGGGCATCCAACCTCCGGTCCTTCCCCTTCGTCACCTTTTTTCGGGTCTTTGGGCACGGACCGTCCGCGGTCGGAGGACACGGAAGCCCAACGCGGAGTTCAAACAGCTCCCGAAGACGGTGTCAGGCCACCGGTGAAGACGATCTGGAGTGACCCAGTGGATGCAGTCAATGCGTTCTTTGGAAAGGATTAGAAAGGGGCAGAACCAAGGAGAATGAAGGGGGCAGCTGGGGATTTCGTTGCTTGGATTTGAAGGATCTAATAGGTGACACAGTTCATTCATTTCAAGTGATCCCCAGCCTATAAGAGTGACTTGCTTTGTCGGAGGTGAAGCACTTTCTGTGGTGCTTTGATACTTTGATATGTGTTGAGTGGTGGAGTCATGACGTGTAGCGTGGTGGTCTTGATGTCGTGCTATGTTGTGGTCTTATAAGGTTTAGTGTAAGTTATACCCTTGTATATCATGGTACTGTATATCCATTGATGCACATCCGACATCAGCTTGTTCCAAGTCTGGTGTCAGAGCGGGTTCTTGGATTTCCGTCACCAAGAACAGTTGATGACATACTGACATACCAAAAGTCTTCAAACACAATGCTTTTTGGAGGGTCAACCGTGACCACCGGTGCCAGGTGCCTGGCGGCGGCAGGCGCTCTCATTGGCGGAGGAGATGCGCAAGGACATGGCTGAGGAGGCGACATGGGCTGCCAGGGCGACATCGGGTTTGAAGGGATGAAAACGGACTGACAACAGTGAACTATAGTACTGATGAAGCACAAGTCTGATGATAAAGTTTGTTCTTCAGCGAGGCCGCATAGTCCGATCTTGCCCTCGCTGCTCTTGCTCGGGCGCGTTTCAAGATATCTTGGCGATTCCGCCTCTGCAGGTGGCGATGGCCAAGACCAACATGTCCTTCCGCCGGGGCTTGTGGTGGCTGCGGCACCTGGTAGGGCTCCGATCCATGAATCGGCCCTACAAGGCGGGCGTTAGCGAAAGAGTCGGTGGAGGGTTGGATCCCAAGATGGTGGGCTCCATCTTGGAAGTGTTGGGATGTAGGGTGTTTGGTTCTACAGTGTTGGGATGATGGTGGGTCCTCCTCCAGTGGTGTTTGATTGGACATGTTCACGATGTCGGAGGACGAGAACCCACTTTTGAAAGTGAACCTTGAACAGTTGAGAAGAGTGAGAGCGCCTCGCAAGACCCTCCCGAGTCCGGAGCACTTTGTTCTGACGAGTGAGCTGATGGACCCAGGCCATGTTGATCAGCTTTTGCCTGATGGCTGTGATTGTGGCTGCTGGGTGAATTCCGTCGACATCGGCCCGGGATGGATTTGAAAACCACTGGGTGGAGGCAAAGGATGTATTCTGGAGAGTTGGAGGTTGGTGGGATCTTCAGATATTTGTGGTTCTACCTTGGGCCTCTGGCCAACCGCAGGAAATCTCAAGTGTTAAGTGTTGGGAATCAACTCTTCAGAAAGGTCTCACTGTGTCTCACTTGTATATACTTGGGAGGGCTGACTTGGAATGTGAAGTCAGAGCAAAGAATCACCGCTGTCTTCCCTGAAGATGGAACATAGTTGTTCCTATATCAAGATGCTTTAATTGACATCAAGAAAATTATCATTATATACATGAGAAGGATTGAAAGAATCTATGACATGTCAGGTGGTAATCAACCTGAAGGTTTTTTTGTCGGTTCACGGCTTTGTTTGTCCAAAGGATGACTCGAATATAATGCCACTGGTGATTTAGCTTCACTTGTTAAGTCGTGTTACAACTACCTATACAAGCCACTGTTTAAAGACCGTTTTTGTTGTGGGCTCGGGACTCTAAATCATCAGAGCTGGGAAGGTTTCACGAAAAAGGTCTCTTCCAGGGACAGGAATGAACAGGCTCAGCAAACTGATGCATTTGGGTCTGTGGCACCGAACATGAAGCAAACCGTGAACACCGACATGCTTCACGGGCCTGAAATTCTGAAAGGGATGCCCAGACCATCCAGTAGTGGGACTGGAATTAGTTATGATATATATATATACCCCGTATACCCTATATAATATATACATTTAGGGGTTTTCATGGCAACTATTTCCAGTCTCATGGAGTGGAAGGAGTTGGGAGGTTGGATGCTACTTGGATGTGATGCAACTCGTCCCTGCCCCATCCATTCCCAGATGGCTGAAGCCATTGGCCTCCATGGGCAAATCGAGCTACACGAGCCACGCGGCGACAGGCTGAGGGATAGGCCCGGGCACGAAATTCATCGAAATTCACATCCACATGACAAGGGCGAGACAAGCCTGGACTTGGCGCTCTTCTTCTCGTGTCAAAACGGCCGGAAGGTAGGATGAGTTGTCTTTTTCATTTTGCTACACCACCTGAGATCATGTTTTACTCAATCAACCAGGTCTTTCACGAGAATCACGTGTCCAATTGGAAAACAACATGCATGAAGCCACAGCGGAAGTCAAAAGCTGAAGAACGCAGCAACGATCCTCTGAACACCAACGAACCGGTGCTCGGGCACCAACCGGTGATCCGGCACCCGGTCGAGGGCCTGGGGAGCTTGGCCAGGGAGACATAGGCCCTCCATGGCAGGGGTCAGGGGTCAAGGGCCCCGGATTCTGAGGGTGACGGGGTGCATTTGCCCTCGGTGTCAGTGGCTTCCAGTCATGAGCGAGGTCATTGAGGGGGTTTCCCACTCGTTGGCCAACACCAGTTCCACGGGACTGGTTGTTTGTTTGTTTTTTTGCGACAAGTTGATAAGGCAATAAGTTTTTTGTTATTTCGATTAATCAGTTGGAACATTCCTGAAACAAAAGGAAGTGTTTTTTCTCGACAGTATCCACTGAGGAGGGTTTTTTTTTGCGTCGGTTCAACGGTTTTTTTGGGCGATGGTGCCTGCTAAGGAAGGTTTTTTGCATCGGTTCACCGTATTTTTTGCATCTGTAGGATCACAGAACATTGTGTGTTTGCAGGAACCAATTGTCGCACTTGCAGGCGAGCGCGAATCAACCGATTGGCACGACAGCTCGAGGAGCGCATTTGGGTGAAAAGCCGTGCGCCAGCATTGCCACCAACACTGTGGACCACCTATATGGTGGGAAGCCAAGAGACGCTGACCAATCTTTGTAGAGTCTTGCCAAGTCGTCATGGATAGAAATCTTGAACAGAGGTCTTGCGTGGAAACTCCGACGTGGATAGAGATCTTGAAGAAATGTTTGGCGTGGAAGCCCCCAAGGCTTGCCCAATGATCTTCGAGGAAATTCCTCCGACGTCTCTAAGTGACACCGCCAAGAAAACACAGCGACAAGGACCAGCAGGCCGAGGCCAGCAGAGAAGAGGCCGAAACGGGGGAGACTTAAGGAGAAGGAGAAAAGATAAAAGAAGAAAGAGGAGGCGGAAAAGAGCAACGGAGGACAAAAAGGAAGAAAGGAAAAGCAGGAACAGCGCAATGAGGAGCAGGACAGGTGGAGGAATGCGCGAAGAGGGGAGAATAGGAAAAAAGAAGGATGTGGAGGAGGAGAAGGAGGAGGAAGAGAAGGGAGAGCAGGAGGAGGAGGAGGAGGAGAAGACGGGGCAGGAGAAGGAGGAGGAGTCCTCGAGCAGGAGCAGGAGAAGAGGAGGAGGAGGGAGGAGGAGGAGTCCACTAGTTTCTTCCTCCTTGCCTGTCGCAGTAAACCCTCTACCGACACAAAAGACCCTTCTTACCGTCGCAGTAACCCATCACTGTCGTTCTACCGTCGCAACAAGCAGTAAACCCCTCTGAGCCGTTGCAAAAGCGCAAGAAGGAGGAGAAGAAATCCGTTGCACTCCTCGATGCTTCAAATACGTTTTTCATTCGCATTAGGCCAGTGATGGGGCCCTGGGTGCGATCAAAGATCCGAAACAACACGGTGTTCACGCGAGTGCATCCAACAACCGGTGTTCGGAATATTTCGGAATGACACAAGCCACAGAAATCGGTGTTCTTTGGTGTTTTGTTGGGGCGTTTTGGGGGGCATCAGGTCATCACTCTTCCACCTCTCCCGTCTCTTCACATGTTGGGGAAAACCACAGGGGTTGTTGGGACACAGTCCGAGGCGCACGGCCACTGCGGAGATGAACCACCCCTTCTTTCGGCACGTGCGGAACTATGGGCTGGTGGTCAGTGGCTCGGTGGAACCGAGCGGTGAAAAATCAAGCAGAACCGGACCGACCAATGTTTTTAAAACACGTCCCAACGTACCGTTTATAGCTAAATCAATGAGATGTTCATCATCTTGGCAGCTCAGGCACGAGTTTTGGACCCATGGTAAACATTTTGGGGTTTTGTACAGTGTTGTTCGGCTGCTAAGAGTTGAATGTTAAACGTGGATAGGCTAGGTAAGTAGGTGCAGACCAACAAACATTATCTGACATGCACTTTGCATTTAGTATATTTTCGAACACGCCGCATGAATATTCCTCCACTTTGAGCCCTGACGTCCAAAAAATTCACCAGTTGATTGTTTGACTGGTGTGACTCATTCAGGAAGTTTCGCGGTTTGTTTCACCCCCCCCTTAGATTCCTTTTGGATCCAGCCACCCTTATGCCTGGCTAAGTGGCCATGTATCTTTGACCTTCTTATTGAACATTGAGCTCGTGTGATCCCCAGGTGCTGGCTTTGGTCTTTTGACGCATCACTTTGGCGTGAAGTTCTCCGACGTGGGCTTGCCATCAGGTGGAGTTTGTTTTTGTGCCGGGGACAATCTAGAACCTGGAGAGTGAGGCATTTGGGTTGGTTAAACACATGGAGTGTTAATGCATTTGTGTGAACCTGGTTCTGCAAACGTTGGGGAATGTGTATAAATAATACAGCATCAGACGTCTCAAGGCCGCACCCTGATGTGATTGTTGGGTGCAAAATGTATGAAAGTGATGTAATGATGTGGAAGAGTCTTTCTTTTTTAGAGATCGTTTGCATTGATCATTTTACATTTTGCTTGGGTTATTTAAGTCATTTGTCTCTCCATATAGGCTCATTCTCCGTTCACCCTGTCGGCTGCACCGGTGAACGCACAGACGATCCGAGCAACTCGCAAGGGGAACAAGATCAACTCCTTCAAGCGCACTCTGCTTCTCGGCCAGATCTACACTCTGATGAAACACTGAAAACATGGAAGTGGTAAGTTGGTAAGTGAATGGTCGTGAAAGGAAGACTGCTCTCCTCTAGGAACATGAGGTGCCATCCACATAACCATGGAACGTGCGCCAGAGTGTCATCTTGCCATGGGAAGCAACCAGCCTGACCCAGTCTTCTTTTCGCCCTGAGAAACACTCACGGAAGTTCAGCCAAGGTTGGTATGGGCTATGTCCAGCCATGGATCTTTGTATCCAAGCGGAACAGCAGGTTCTTGTGACTTAGCGAGCAATGCACATATCAGCTGGGCTGGGCTGATGTGGAGGCTTGCTGTGTAAACAGGTGAAGTCACGGTTCGAAGCGGGAGATCGGGGGTAGAAGTGAACTGGAATGCGTGGCAGTTAATATCTATTTGCTACTAGTAGTAAGGCCAGGAGCTACTAATAGCGTCCTTGCTCCTAGCAGCGATGCCCTTTGCTCCTAGTAGCTTCTTGTTCCTAAGATAACTTTCTTACGAAGCGGGATCATTGCTGACCACCATTTTGCCGCAGTTCCTGGGCTTGTCTCGAAAAATTGGTCTTGATTAAAAGCTATATCATTTGCATCGTGCAGAACATCTGCAAAACCGAAGCCACAAGAAACAGGGAGGTCTCCCCCCCAGCCCAAAGCAGAGCTTCCTGAGAATAGTAGAAGAGAAACCTTTCCGGAGGATCTACAGCTTCACAACCACCCATGGCAGTAGGAAGTACAACCACTGCACGCGTTGAGCACAGGCCGCGGTGTGCAAGCATCAGTAAACGTACAGATTGGTGAAGCCACCATTCTCTTTGGTTTCCACTTGGGCCGGTGCCAACTCGGACATGAAACAGCTCGTCCCCTCCTTTGCCTTGTTTGGCCCATTCCTGCGCCTTTCGATCTCAATCAACCCTCCCGGACGCTGGTGGGTCTCTTTCTCCCGCGACGAGATCTACAGGGGGAGTGCCTGGATGGCGTCGATGCTGTTTGGTGCGGCGTCGGAGATCTACAAGGCCGGCTTCGGCGAGGCGGATGCTGACTCTGAGGCTGGTCACTATATTAGGCTATATAGTATATATAGGATTATATAGGGTCAGTATTTGTTGACGCGCCAGAACATAGAGTGTTTGTTTGGCCGTAGAAAAAGCTAAGTGTCGAGTGGTGGAGTCACGACGGTCGTCACGACGGTCGAGTGGTCGCGCCCATGAAAAACTAGCATCAAAAAACATACATATATATATATATATATATCAGCGTCATATCAGTTATATACTTCATGTGTTAGATCAGTGAATGATCCTATGCAGTTTTCCTATGCTTGGAACCGGTGGTTGCTTCGCACTTCAGCATCTCGTACACCGAGACTTCTCGGTGAGAACCGGATGTCTGGATTCCCTGAGACGGCCAGTACGGTACAAACCAGGCTTCGTTTGCGACGGCCTTTGCTTCGTTTGGAAGGGGACAATCCCAGGACATGCGGTGTTTACCAGGGGACGTGCTCAAAGACGACGCTCATGCCAAGTCCAGAAGTGATTTGGACCGTGGCTTGTAGCTTTTGGAAAGGGCCCTAGTATTTCAGTAGAGGGCCCAGTAGTTATACCCCTGGGATCATTCGCGGGACCTTGCTCTTTTGGGTGGCAACCAGAGGGGTGATGTTTTGTCATGCTTGGGGAAGCACTTTTTCATTTGGATGAAGAAATTTAATGTAGAATGCCATAATAAAGAAGAAAAACCTGAATGAACATCATATGTTAATATTCCAATTCACTTCTTTTATTAAACTATGATGAGAATGAAGGGTGGAAGGTCGCTATATATGTTGCCCTGTCCGGCCTGTGGGGTATGGCCGCGTGCCTTTTGTTTGAAAGCCTCCGCCCTCAGACCCGACTGTATCCGGGCACATCAGCTATACAAGCCACTAGGCGGCGCCGATGAGTCCTGGATGGCGGGATTGATGGCGTTCTTGTCAGTGGAAGTAAGTCCAAGCTTGTTTGGGGTTACCGTACATACACGGAAGTCAAATGTCTGAAAGTCTGGGTTCTCTGGGCTATCCCTTGCCTGATTGCTACACTGATTTGGATTTCCCTTTGCATGAGGCTAGCATTTACAGAATCATCTAACCCCGTCCAAGCAGCAATAGTCCAAACATCGTTCGATCTCCTAGTGAAAGAAGACTACATGTGGGTACTCTCATCTCCGACCCTGGGACCGGCAGAGAGGCTACAGGCTACCGGCAGATAAGTCTTTAAGGAGGTATAGATACAGGCAGAGCAACAGACACCAACAAAGGGAGAACGTAGGGTAGACGGTCAAAACCAACTTCAAGAGCCCTTAGTAGATGGCAAGATGCAATGTGGTCCAAGGCCTGAAAGACCAGACAACCCCGTCCTCACTCGGTTCACACTCGTCTCAACACCCTCGAAGGAAGGCTTCGAAGAAAGCGACTGTGCAAGCCGAAGCCCAAATGTTCCTCAAGTCAGCTTCGCCCATCTTGTGCGATCGTTTTTTCACGCTTCACCCACTCTTCTACACACTTGCTTGAACCAGTTGCGATAGATGTTTACACTCTGACTCACTCACATGGGTACGTGGAGAATGGCTCCTTGGAAGAATACTTTCCTCTAGTCTTAGAAACAGGTGGTTTTCCATTTCCATGTTCGCGAGTCGGAGTGTAGTAATAACATACGCACATATTCTTACGATTGCACACTAGTGTTTCAAACAGTTTCAGAACCTCTAAAGAATCTCCATTACGGCCCAGCACGGTCCCTTTACAAGGGTGCGTTCATCCTACATTCGACCCCACCATTCGAACCGGAGCGAGGTTCAGTTCGGAAAAGACGATGGTTTGTTCCACTTCCGAAGTTCCGAAGACCACCGTGTGCTCACCGTTGGGTTCCAGACGTGTAGATCGGTAAAAAAAGGTTAAAAGCGACCACACACCCAAGCTGGGTGTATCGGTTGACATCAAGGATCGGTTCATTGGACCCGGGGTCCAGGGTGCCCCGTGGTGCCACGGCCCACGAGAGGAGACAAGAGGAGCCAAACAGTCTGACTGAGCACATGGAAGTGGATGGCACATGATGGCACGCCGTGATGGCAAGTGATGGCAAGTCGAAGTGATGGCCATGCCGTCCACTTCCATGTGATGTCTTGGTCAGAGTTCTTTTTTGTTTCGCTACCTTCGAGTTCAAAAAGGCCCAAAACCCGCTGCTGAGGTGGTTTCAGGCACGGAGTTTGGGCCTATCGGCGGGTGATGGTGGGGGTGTGGTGACCTAGGATTGCTGAATACTGGTGAGTAGATGACCAGACATGCCAGACATACCAGCCGGTACCACCTGCGAAACATTGCGAAACCATTTGCGCTGGGGAATTGCTCCCTTGACCTTCTGCAGAACTTCTCCAAGGCACTCTATATAGAGGATTGTGCTGTCGTCGTGTGGCATGAGACATGAGTCAAAACCCGGATCCCCCAACCAGGGTAGGTTGACCTTAGCGACCAGGTAGCCCGGGTTTGACCCACACAAATATTGGAAACGCCACGTTTGCAGTTGGTCCTTTTTGGAGTTGCTTGGGGGGCCAGTTGCAGAGATGTGATCAATTACTACGCAGCTCAGGAGCTGCTTGTATGTATACGGCGTATTGATGACAGAAAAAGACGGCGGAAGGAAGAGCGACACAAATACATACATCTGAATTTGTGAACATGGTCTTCGGCTGCGAGCTGTCATGAATCTTGGGTTTTGAGTTCTGTGGACTCAGAAAGCCGGTACTGTAGGTGGTTGAAGATTTCGATTGGGTCATTCTTGTTGTTGGTTTGTTTTTTCCTTTTTTTAAAGGGTGCATTCCTTCACAGTTTGGCACTAGTTATGTATTCGAATGCTTTGCCTCATGTTTGCTTCCTCAACATTCCTCAACTTCCCTTCCCCAAGCGAGAAAACCAGAGGCTTCCAATCAACTTGATGCAGAGAAAACGCCCGACACCCGGTGAACGGAAAACAAAAAAAAGGCATCCGATGTGTAAACACACTGGTCTTTTCTTGATGAACTGAAGACCTGCCCATGGCACCAGAGATACCCTTGGTATCCCTTGGTGTTCAGGAGACCAGTGCATGAATCAAATATCTCAAGTCACCAGCCACCAGACTTGACAGGCAGTGTGGTCTTCATCTCTTGCGCTTCGGTCGTGTGCGCCTTGTGCATGCGGATCATTCACATTTGCTCTGCAATGAAAACCAGCTTGTGGCTCGGCTCAGGGAAGTGGCCTAGATCATCATTTGATGCCTGGGGAGGGGGTCGATGAAAGCGATAGTCTACTGTCGGGGGTCTCTCTCTCTCTCTCTCTGCTCTGCATCTCTTTGCTGTAGCCGTCACAGCTTCTTTCTGGAAGATGGTCATGCGGAAGGCCGACCAAGGACGGGGGGGGGGTCACTCCAGCGACAAACCCAGCGACATCCAGAGACTCGTTCAACAGCGACAAACCGAGCAGGACTTGAAACAAGAAGTGGAACGTGTATTGGTCCGATGCGGTCAGAGTAGTGAGTTGGGTTGGTGTAGTGAGTTGGCTCGGTGGAGGAAATCTGTTGGCCAAGTTGAATGAGCTGTGTTGGGTTGCGTGGTGTCAGATGTGGAAGCCGTCTACGGCATGAACAATCCCGGAAGTAAGGCAGTGGGTGGGTCAGATCAGCAAAGTGGGTCAGATCGTGGCGACAGACAGTCAAAGAATGACACCTTCCAGGTGCTACTAGGGACCTTCCCAGACACTCATGGACCCCGTTTGGAGGGATCGGACCCTCAAATGGAGGGTCTGGGGTCTCAAGTTCCTGCATTTTGAGGGACCAAAGGCTGTTTGAAGCGTTTGGGTTGAACAAATATGTTTTCTTGACCAAGTTCGGTGACACCAAGCGCAGAGCTCAGAGCCCCATTCAGAATGACACTTTTTTATGACCATCATACAGATCTTTTGATCATTCGGGCAGCTTTGATGGATTCATGCTCTAAGTCAACAACTTCATGCTTTTCTTGGGGGTTGCAATGATTTGTTGTGTCAATGAGGCTTGGTGTCTCATTTACTACATAGGAAGAACATATGCGTCCTCCAAGCCGCTGTCATAAAGATCGATGGGTCGGTGATGTCTTAAAACGGCAGGCTTGGGGTAGGCTTGGGATGGTCACCCATCAGCCTTCTTTGATTTGCAAGAGGGGTCACGGGGCATTGCCTCTTGGAGCAATTCTTATTGGAAAAGGACACACTGCAATTAGTGTGCAAGGAGGAACATGTTTGGCCTGGTAGTAGCTAGATTTGCATAATGTGACCACTGTGCTGGTTTGTCAATGTCAATGTTTGTACTTAAGGTGGATCATGAGGTACGGTTTTGATGAGAAGATGCAGCTAAGCGGTGCCACATTGCAACGTATGATCCTGCAAAACAAGCATGGCACTTGTCTTCAACTCTTGTGTTCACCCAGAACTGACCAACAATGACAGCTTATTCGAGACTTCACAGGTGAATCCGCATAACTATCAGTTGTGTCGTATGGAAGCCAATTTCACAAGACGCTGGGTCCCCTTTTTTCGGACGCCGTGGTCCGCTGAACGGAACACCGTCGGACGGATCTTCGGTCCAAACCGCATGACGATCCTCAACGATCAACGACATGCGCTGAGGATTCGGTATATGCAGAACCTGGCCCAAGACGACATTGACTTCGAAGGACGCAAGACAGACCCAGTGGAACCGACCCAATGGACCAACCGAGATGCGAGATCTGGATGTACCGACCCACATGCGTTTCGAGATCTGCCCGACCGGAGGATCGCACGATCGACTCGGGTGTCTTGCATGTCTGGGTACAGCTTGCTTGCAGATGAGTCTCTTTGGGGGGGCTGAAGCCCTGATAGTCCTGAGCATTAGCCCAGGCAAAGCTGTGGCCAAATGTTTATTCTGCCTGCATGATCCTGCATGCACTCATATAATGCATCTTAATGCCACAAAAGGAGTGCTGCGCATGGGTCGCTAGTTATTTTTGTTGCTGTGGTTTCTCATCTATGCCTTCAGGTGTTGGCAGCACTCCATTGAAAGAACAAGATATCCAAGACATGGTCCCCTATGCAACAAGATGCAAAAAGAAGCATCTTTTGTGAACCAGTAGTAGATACCATTAGATTCCCAGATGCCAAATGGTTTTGCTCATGATCCGGATGACACCAAGACCTATGTTTCACAGAGTGGTTTCCCTATGTTTTCCCTAGATTTGCATTCCCAACGAACACAGAGTGGTCATGTAAACGACCCACAACAATGAACTTTGGTCTTGAGGAATGGATCAGACTCCAAGATGACTTTGGAGTCTCAAAAGACATGGATATCCATAGTCACAGTCCAACATATTTTTACCCTGTTCCCTCCCCCCTGTTCCGAACGCCACTCATCTATTTCAAAAGTCCATGTGAAAGTGGAAGATGCATTGGAACCCACTCAGTCCGCAGAGCTTGTCCCATTCTCCACCCGAGCTTTCGAGTTCATGGATCCGATGTCACAGAATTCCAAGCACAATGCACGAACCGAAGTCCTCGTTCGAACGTGTTCCGGTCAGCGGAGACGTCTCCGCAGGAATGGCCCAAGAGTGGAACACCATCCAGATCTTCATCCGCTGCTGCTTGGCACGGCCCAAATTCATGATGTTTGTCATGGTGTTTGACCACAAATTCCCTGGGAAACAAACGCCCCAAGGGCGCCCCATGCCCCAAGATGGTGTGTTTTCGAGCGGACCATGGCCCGATGTTTTTTTGGATAGCAGCTCAACAACAATCTTCAATCATCAATCTTGTTGTTTACAAGATTCTTTCTGTAGCAACCAGTCTTTCTAGAAGGGTCTCCAAGAAATACTGAAAAGGTGTTCCCTCCCAAACAAGGACAGCTTGCCAGGGTTGCTAGTTAATACTATTTCCTTGATTGACTCCAGTGGCTTGCGAGTTTACAAGTTTTCTTGGCACGGGCATCAACACAAAACTCATTATCAGGATCAGCCACACATTGTTGTCAGGATGAAGGAATGAATGGAGGAAAGAAGGAAGAAAGGACAGACTATTTGTTTGTCATTGTAATATGTTTGATGTTTGCTTATATAACCCTGGGTTGGAAAAATATAGGTATGGCATTGATATTCAAGAACCTTTTATATACAACAACCCATGGTTCAATTCTAGGAACCGACTTGTGCTTCTTTAACCCTTCTTTTGACCCATGACTCTTTTTTTACCCATGAGCCGTCTTTTCAAACCTTACAGCTTGCACCTTGCTAACCCAGAAGCAGGTTCTTCAAACCATTTTCTTCCGCTGGGTGGTAGGACAAGCTCATCAGCTAACGTAGACACACATCATCAAGTGAAGTAGCAAAATCAAAGAACTAGGGTCTTCGGAACGGGGTGGGGCTTTTTTCACACGGAACCGACGATCGTCCATGTTCCGTATCGGTGGCTGGAGACTGGAGAATCTGCAATCACACATGCACATCACTGGCAGCGCAACCTTGAACGAATTGTGTTTCTGTGTGCCGCACTTGGATGCGTTATTGGTGTGTGTTTGGTTTTGTTGGCTGCTGCTGCACCCTCCCCACCCCCCGTCCCAGAAATTCTGGAAAAGGACATGATATTCCTATTGCTTGGCTACTGACTTACTGTGATCATGACCTACTTTCACATGCAATATCACTCCATGTTACGGGCTGGAGAATGCAGTTAACACTTATATACTGCCCTCATGACCTGTCCAAAGACTAGTGCCAGGAGCAGGCTTTTCTTGTGTGCTGCTGGTTCTGCTACGGTTCGTGCCATCCAGGTCTTTGTGATGGATGTTCCTACAGTATGCTTTCGATGGTCTTGGTGATTCCAGCCTCTGGGCAGGAAGGGTGAGGCAGAGCCTCAAGCTTGGAGTTTCCAGAGCGGGTCCGGAGCCTCCGCAGCGGGTCCCGACCGTCAAAACCCTTTGGTTCTCGGGGTTTCACTCATGTTGGTGTGGACTTCGAATGCATTCGTTGTGCTACCTGTTTCACCGTGTTCACGGCTCAATCGTGCGTGCAACATATGAGCCCCTTCCCGGCCACGGCGCGCTTGTCGGGCCCACTGGTCTGGTTCTTCTGGATCTTCAGGGGGACATGCCAACAGCCGACAGCTCTTTGGAATAGACGTTGGTAGTCTACCCTTCTTGTTTGCTTCGCCCTTCGCACAGACCAACCTCATCTCCATGATAGATCGGTCAGTTGGGTTGCATCCTGAACCCTCGGAGCTTTGAGCAGCCGGGATGAAGGACAGACCGCCGCCGCAAAGCTGGGGTTACTCTCCCTGGAACTAACATGGAAGTGGACAACCACCTGATTGTAGTGGAAAAGGGTCCATGTTAGTTCCAAGGAGTGTAATGTGATTGGAGGACCTGGTCGTCAACATCCCCCACATGAACATGTATATACCGGCTCAACCACTGGTTTCTTCTACAAGCTGCATATCAGTGTTGAAGGCAGACGAAGAAGAAAAAGGAACTGTACAAAAAACTACCATGTAGTGAAGGGAACATAAGGAGGCTATAGGGCATTCTTTCTTCAAGTCAGATATGTTGAAACAACATGAAAATAGCTGGGTTTCCAGTGGCATACCTTGCAAGCCACTATTCTTTTCTCATCACCTAACCGATAGCGTGGGCCACCGTGTTGAGCGGTGGGTTTGTTGTTGTTCCGACTTGCGGCCGATGACAGGAACGAACAGACTTGCCCCGCCCAGACTTCAGTGTTTGCTTCTCTGAACCGTGCTTCTCAGAGCAAAAACGACCAAATGTGTTGTCACGAAAGGTAGCCCTTTAGGGGATACCTTGAGTTTGTCTTGCGAAGCAAGTGTTGGGACGTCCGGGTCTAATAATTGATCATCCAATTCAACCCCCCCCCCCCCTCGAATTGATTTATCAATACAGACCCCCCCCCCGGCCCCCTTGGAATTGATTTTTCAATACAGACCCTCCCCCCCTTTAATTTCAATTCTCTCCTGGAGAACGTCTTCGTGAGCCTCTCATGATTTCAGGATAGTTTAAACCCTCTTGAACATTCAGAAAGAGTGCATATGAAATTCTAATCACGAAAGGTGTTCCCCAAGGGGATACATACCTAGAGTTTGTTTTGTGAAGCACGTCAATTCTCTCCTGGCGAGCGTCTTCGTGAGCCTCTTATGGTTTCAGGATAGTTCAAATCCTATGATGCTCCGATTCAATGCTCACCGATGATCTGAGCCATGGGGCAAGTTTGTTTTCCTAAGAATCTCTTTGAACATTTCGAGAGCATATGTTTGAACATTTAGAGTGCATATATTTACGAAAGGTCGCCTCCGAGGGGATAAATAACCATGTCGAACATTGCATTTTTGTTCCTGCCTCTCGCGTTCTCTTCTCTTCCCGCTGTCCTACCTTTCGTGTCTCTCTCCTCTCAAGTTCAATCAGACATGCTCAGCTTATGGGACGCGGCAATCTATCACAGTTTAGTCTGGTGAGTTTGAGAAGTGGTTTGTTTTGGGGCCCGATACTTGCGTCAAGGTAGATGCGCCTGATAGGTGTCACTGATGCTGTATGTTTTAACATTTTGTGATGTAGCCTATTTATTGAACAGTTCAATAGACTGTACTGGTATGATTCCTTTACGGTGACTACAGTTTGCACACATTCTCTTGCGGAACTCCCACCAGATCTGGGCTGTTTGTAGATTTCCCATCTTCGACTCACTGCTGGAAGTCGTCATACAGACATTACGAGTAAAATGCTGGGGAGCGACGACAACTACTTGGACGGTCTACGTTGCACGGTTCCGCGACAGTTACTTGTCAGTGAGTATCCCCGTCGAGGAAACTAGCAAAGGGTTGGAAGGTGCAGCCCTTCCACATGCAAACACACATGCAAAAATGCAAATGCAATCTAAATTCCACGGTGCAGCCACGGCCGGCACTCTGCATGGACCTGCACTTTGTGTAAGTAGCGGTCTCCACATGCTGACAGAGCAAGGTGGCTGCCAGGGCTTGCAGTGTAGTGAGAAAGTCGTGGAAGCCACAGCGTCTGACTATGTTTGGCTAGTTCACATGACTCAACCTGCCATTTGGTGTTTCTGCTCTCACACGTGGCGATGAGGTGATGGGCGCTGGGGCGGTGGTGAATCTCCTCTACACTGACAGCCACTCAGAGTGTCCTTGAGAGAGGACCAAGATTGAACCATATTGACGAGCGGTGGGTCAAAAACATAATCACATGATGGTCTGTTGTTGTTGTTGTTGTGGTGGGCCATTGCGGTGTGATGTAAGCGAAAAAAAAATCTACCTTGTTGCAATTGCGGCGTCAAGAATAAGGTCAGACCTTTCGGCTCACAAAGACGGCGTGAAGATGGTCTAGTGGTTCTTATTCATGATCATTGTGTTGTAAATCTGTAGGTTGTATAAACTACAGTGCACGTGTCTTTGGGTCATTGACCGTGTTTTGCAGGGTGCGTTCACGTTGTGTCTGGCGCATCGGCGGCAAGCCGGCAAAGGATTGCCGCTTTGCCGGTTTCTTGTTTGGTAAACAAATATCATGTGGCTTGCAAACATGGGGTTTGTGAACCCTGGTGTGGTGTTGAACTATCAGACAGTAGCCTCTTGGGTTGGTTTTACGCGTTCCTGCATTCCTTAAGCCACTCCATATCACCTTTAGTTGTTGGCCTGCCGGGTTCGGATGGTGCCAATGTGCACGAAAAAACCAACCATATTCCCTCTACCCAGCTCTCGGCCTCAAGACATGTGGGTTGCCACACAAGGACATTCATCTGAAAAAACCAAACCAAATGGTTGCACTACACAGGTGGTTCATCTGTACTACACAACTGTGGTTGCACCTGTTTCTGAGGCATCAGCGAGGTCGTTTCCACCATGTTGCCCTTCATTGCCGTGTGTCATGACTGCAATGTTTTGCCATTTATTTGCTGCAAGACTGACTGATCTACAGTGGGGTAATCGCTTTCCGCAAGCCTTTGTCATTCCAATGTTACTATCCGAACCAAACACATTGGTAGACTATTGGTGCATTTGACAAAAGCACACCATTCTATCAACGATTGGCTTTCGGATTCAGTGGCAGACTCAATTGACTGAACCTGGTATTTTCGGAGTGAAGTGCAAATGCATCAGAGGACCAACGGGATACAGGACCATTAGGAAACAAAACATCCCAAGGTGCAGAGAGCTATATAGACACGTCTCATGGATAGTCCATTGGGCTGCTCCTTTCTACCATGTTTCTTCTGTCTCCTTGGAATTTGAAATCTGGCAGCAGAGCCACGACGCACTATAGAAGGGAAATCCAGTGGAGCTTCCCACTTGGAAAATCATGAAACCTGTTCATGCACCATTAGACCATTTCCTGCCATTCGTCATCATAGCGGCCGTGGATCATGTTATTAATATAGTATATAATGTTATATCATGTTATATCCCTAGGGTTCCTGGCCCATATCCTCAGAAGGTGGTTAGACCCCCATGGCACCCACCCCAGTCCCACCGAACCTCAGTTCGCTAGGCCAAAGCCCGGTATCCAAAATCCGTCGTCCAGCGACCCTTCAGCGGGCGACCGGCCGATCCAGAGGCGTTCGGTTTTCACTGGGGGGGCCCTCGTTCCTTCGTCCGTCTTCCTTCTCGCCGATCCTCAGGTCCTGTATGCCGTTGATTTGTCTTCTGACGGCCGCCGATCTCACGCAGCTCCTCGGGTCAGCAAACAGCGGTCGGAGGCTCTTCGGGCGGAGGTCCGGGACGAGAACTCTCCCCACTGAGTCGTGGGTGAGAACTGGGTCGATGGAGGGTCCTCATGTGGTTTTTTGAGATGACTGAGTCTACAAGGATTACTCATTAGACTGCGCAAAACTATCGGATATCAATGGAATATGTGATATGTAGCTAGATTGCATCCCTGTGGTACACTCTTTTGTTGATTTTTAAGGTGCGTGGGAGGGGGCGAGCAGAACGGCTGTTATATATATATAAATTGAAAGAGTGAACACTGTAAGTCTTCCTCCGCGCAGAAGCTGACCCTGGAACATCCAATAGCCGTTACTTTCTTTGGAAGTGAGCAGGTCATCTCTCTGTCGATATGAAAGGTCTCCAGGCAGCGAAGCTGGGAGCCACCAGCTCGCTTGTTCTCAGCTGGCACCATCAACCTGTCCCATCTAATTCGTTTGAAACACATCCCTTCACATGTCGTCGAGCATGAAACGAGCGTCCGATGGTCCGGTGGAGCCAAGTGGAACGATAGGTACGGACCATGATTGGCATTGCTGGTCTTTCTCTTCACCTCTTCTTGGGTTCAGCGTCACCCAGTGTCGCAGGTCGGTCTTAAACTGCGAAGAACGAATCCGGGCCAGCACTGGTCGGTCTTAACACCCGAAGGAAGCGCCTAAATGCGACCATCGAAGCTCCCCACGGGCGGACGACTTTGAGCAGGTACGGCAATACTTTCTCTTTTCGCCCGCGCTCAGGCAGCTGCTGTTTGCTGTTTGTCAGGTGACCAGTTTTCCAAGTATAGTGGGATGAGACTGCGAGCGAGTTCGATCAGAGGAACATGCTCTTGCAAACTTTGAACCATTTCGTTACAGATGGTTCCTTAGCACTGTGGTTTCCTGGTTTAATCCGAACAAAATTCAGGGTGCATCCTGCATATCCTGGTTCACTGATTTGCATCAGTCTCATACACTCCTGCAAAAGGGGCTTGCCACCCAAGTTCCTTTGCCGAAAGGTTCGGGAAGACCACTACGTAGCAATCCCAGAAAGATGTCTCCCTGTATCGGACGGACCGGACCGCCGGTACGTTCCGGTGCTGGACCGGATGACGGTCCGCCTCCGAGGCAGTGTGAGCAAGCGCCGCAAGTGGCGAACTCCATGCTGGTCCTGGATTGGGACAACGAACGAGCACAGGAGCATCGGCAGGGCTCGCTGGCTCGCTCGCACCGAGCTGACCGGTGCGAACCAAAGCGGGGCGAAGTCGGTCGATCGGATCGCTCCGAGAAATGTGGAATCACAGATTGACCACCTTCAGTTGACTCCAATTCTTAAGCGTCTTCCCTTCACTTGGTACATTTGGCTAAAGGCACACTTGGATGCTTGAGCTTCCTTCTCCACAAAACATACTCCAAACAGCGGCCCACTGGGAAATGGAATGACAACAACCAAGCCACCCATTCACAGTATGGGCCCCTGTGACAAATATGAATACATATATATATATATATGAATACCAATGTACTATTCACGATTTCACCTCATCACGTCCAGTATTTGAGGATCCCCCGTTCACACCCTTTCGTGCGGCCCTGGTTTGAGGAATCGAAGGTCCAGAAGCAGCCCGCTCACAGCGGCAGCGATCAGCCACCAATCCGATCGCAGATCCTCCAGGTCCACACCGTCCACCAAGCCCTGGGTCCCGAAAGGCCAAGATCTTGTGACTTCCTCGTAGCAAGAATGTCATGCCCTTGTGACTTACTCGTAGCGATGCCCTTGTGACTTAATCGTAGCTTCTTGCTACCGTCCAACTGGGTGAAGCTTCAGAGGACCTGTTGAACTTTATGTCACGCTGCCAACTGGGCTTCTTCGTGAACGACATGCGGGTCTCGCCGGCGGCGGTGCCGCGGAAGGATGGACCCAGCGAGCCAAGCCATAGCAGGGAATGGGAATGGGAGGGAAGTGAAAGGAACGAAACGATTACATTTATATATATATATATATACAGTAGCTATATCATCCTTAGGGATCCAAATACCTTCTCAGGAAGTATTTGGACCCTCAAAGCCTACATAAAAGATCATAAAAGGCCTTTGCAATTACCTTCTCAGATGGTATGCGGACCCATAGGAATATTCTACACATCTAAACACCCATGGAAAGGTTCGGGGAAAGAAAAGACGGGAAACGAAAGCAATTCAGTCGCCCTGAAAAGATGGAATCTGAAGAGGAACCTTTGTGTGGGAAGATCATCCGCATGCGTCATTCAGTCAACACAGAGTGAGGTTCCTTCTTGTTTGGAGGAACCACGAAAGGCCCAGGACGTTCTGTGGTCCTCTTGTTTTAAGGAAGGAGTTTACCCGGCGCTGTTCAGTTTCTTGGACATCTGCGCATGTGTTCAGTGAAAGGAGTCAAGGAGTCGCATGACACATGTGTCACATGATAAGATGCTGTTGCTACTGCCAGTAGAGGTTTTTTCACACACCTCCGTTGCTCACTCAGGTGACCAAATTTATCTACATTTTGGTGGCTGCGTGCTTTACAATTCTCTCGTGGAGTTTAGAGAGGATTCTGGTTGAGCTTTGAGAGATGCAATAGTAGAGGCGTGGTGAAAGCAGATCGACAATCGAAGCTGAGACGAACGCTATCAGCTTGTTCCTTTGTTTATTTGGATTTCGTCCTGATTGACTGCACTCACAGACGGTTTTTGCAAAGCTGACTGTATGTCAGACATCGCGCTGTCCACATGGCACGAGCACGGTCGCAAGAACTCATGTAGTATACAGTAATGTAGGAGCAAGGACGCTACTAGGGGCTCCTGGCATCGCTACTATATAGTAGCAAGAACCTACTAGGGGCTCCTGGCCTTACTACTAGGAGCAAGGACGCTACTAGGGGCTCATGGATTTCACACAAAAGAGCAGAATGTAACGTATGAACGGAGCAAGAGAGGGCAGGTATCACATGCTTCCTACGGCGGGTATCACATGCTTCCTACTCAATTGACCACTTTGAAGCCAAGGGCATCGTTGGTTACCAGGGCTTCAGGGCAGGTAAGTCTTATGACATAGTTTACGACATATGCAGCGGGTCCACCAAGAATTGTGAGTATGAACACTGAACCCCCTTTCAACATCAGCACAATCTGAGGCGGCTCAAAAAAAAGGGGTCATTCGTGAACTTTTGTGGTTTGGTTTCATACCTTTGGCCCCTGACTGCAGATGTTTTGAGAGCGATACCCCGCCAAAGAGCTGATCCAACCCTCACATACCCTCGCGGATCTTGGGCCAAGAAAGACCTTCAAGTGGGGCAAATTGGTCAGGGTATGTCATGACTAGAGTCTACGAAGGCCAACTTCCTCATGTTATGCTATTGGCAGCCAATGGCCAAAGAGATTCTTCCAGGAAGCCATAACAAAGGAAGCAAAGGTGAAAACGACACCACCAATCCCACATGCTCCATGCAACAAAGCGAGACCAAGCATGATTAAAACTACCAATCATGCTGCTTTCCAGCGACACACCAGATATACATACTGTAGAAATATCTCCCTATTCCGGCCGAATCAATTCCACAGAGCCACGGCACAAAATCACTGATCGAATCTCGCCACTGAGCCCTTGCAACGAAGAGATTTGCACTGAGCCCTTAGCTCCCAGAACCTAGTCGTTGTATGGTATTTGTACTACAAAGTGGCCACTGGCGATATCCCCGAATCGACATGCTAAAGCGTACAAGTGATCACCCCTCAAACTTCCTTTCACGGACCTTGCTGGTTTTCTCGCGGACCTGTGTTCTTGCTCAAAATGGCTAGATTTTCCCCACAGCTGTCCGGTACGGGAATGGCAGTGGTCGCCTACAGTCATGTCAGGCGTCATTCTTACGAGCAGCCATAGGCTTCTTGTCGATTCAAGGAACACCGGCCTCCCCCCCCAGTCCAAGAAAAGGGGTTCGGGGGGGGACTGATGTTCGGGGAAGGAGTTGCATGAGCCCTGCCCTGCAGAAACTTTAAATCGCAGGGCCAGAGTGCTTCAACCATCAGCCACAGACATCACTGGAGAAAGCACAAAAGATAGGTCGAAAGATTCGGGGATCGATTCAGCACAGTGCTGAACTAAGGTCCACACTCCAGTGGAACCCTGTGGAAAGATCGCAATATAATTAATAATCTTCAGTTTTAAACATCACCCAGTGTTTGTTGAATCCTCGAATCCTCTATTAGACTTTGTCCTAAGCCTTCCGTCGTGAGCTGATCTCAATCCCCTCGATGCAGTTAATCCAAACATGCAGGTGCTGCAGAGGCTGCTTGGAATGTTCTGCACTCGGAAATGGTCGTGAGGAAACATCCGGCTCCCAATCCTGAAGTTTGAAAACGCCCGAGCTCCAGGCACCAACTAGCGTGGCTTTGTTTAAATGAAGGAAAGGCAGACCAACCATCTGGACATGAATAATCATGAATAGGGCTAGTTCGGGTGATCCGTGACCTCCTTGCCCAACTCACTTGCCCAGTTCAACGATTCGACACGAGTCCCATTTGGAACTACTTACATGTGTGCCACGCATGTCCAAATGAACCCCTAAATTTTTAAAAAGATCCAAAAAGGCGGTGTTGTTGTTTTTCCATGCTGAGAATTGATCGCCGCCGGCCATTTTACGCAGTATACGCTAGCCCCACTCCGATTTTGCCTTGGGCATAGTTGTGAACCGTAGGGATTTAAATCAATCCCATTTCACCATGAATGGACGCCTGAACACGAATTCCAGATGTTTGTCACGATTGTTCGTGTCACGATGTTTGAACGGTCGCAACCAATCTCTCGATCGGTCGCGGAAAGGGGGGCTCGTCATGGACCCTTCTAGCTGGCCAGCTCGAAAGTTGAAAACTCCAGCTGTTGGTCCTGAAAGAATTTTAGCTCACCTTACCGAGCTGCAGCTACAGTCGTAGAATGGATCAATCAATTTGTTTGTTCTCGTCTTTCAAGTTTCAAGAGTTTTTTTTGTTTTTCGTGACCCGACGGCGTTCGAAAAAGAAGAGGGGACGCGTCCTCGATCACCGAGTGAGCCGCGGGTGTCAGAACACCGGGTGAGCCGCGGGAAAGCGGCCCAGTTGGGGTCGCACCAACCTGGGCGAATCTGTTGAAGCGAATCATACGGACTGCGCACCTGACCGGTGACGTCGCTGTTTTGGTAGGATGTTCCAAGACCTGTGGGGAGCACTTGTTGGGCCTTGGATCAAGAAAACGGGTCAGTTGGAGATCAATTATATATATTGCAATATGTATACTGCATTACAATGTTCACATGGCTTATTTAGCTTGCGACCCCCCAAGGCTGACCTGAACGTCCGAATGATGAGAGGTTTGATGAGTTTCCACACTCCTGCCAAGTCAGTGGTGAACCTTTAGCTTTTCTGCGACTCTGCGGATTGGTTTCCCTACGATGAACAGGCGGTGACAAAAGATTGAATAGTTTTTGATGTTCAACGAAAATTGAAGATGCTAGGAAGAGCGATATTCGGCACTCTTTCAACCTATGGCGGCCAGCATGGCGGGCGAATAGCCTGACAGATCTGGGCTACCCGGTTCCCATCTTTCGGGTATACGAAGGATCGAAGAAGGATGTTCAGAAGGATCGAGCTTTTCCAAAACCACCGGTGACCCCTGAGTCGCTCGATCCTTCTCGGTGTTGGAGCTGTTTCTTGGGACCAGTTCGCTTTCGCACGTCGGACGGCTTTCACCTGTGAACGGTCTCCCGATCCGAAGCAGCGAGCGCAGCATGTCTAAGAGGCGGGCCATTGAGCCAAGGCTTGAGCCAAGGCAAAGAAGTCGTGGTGACTTCTGAGCTATACTTTTAAAGCCTCCAAATTTTGAGATCTAGGTTTTGAAGATCTCTTTCATTCCACACAAAGGCAGGGCGAGGCTAGAGCCGGACTCTCTAGAGAGTGAACGTTCGGCTTCCTGCCTTTAGATGCCAGCATGAGGCCTGAACTCGGTCATTGTTGGTGGTATCATGGAGGTATCATGGTGGTAAGAGTTCAGTCAGAACGGTATCTTCGTCCCAAAAAGAACGCAGAACGCAGAGAAATGGGTGAAGCTTCAAGATGCGAAGAAGAAGAAGGATTCGGCAGAGTTGTTCTCCACACAACAGGCTTTCGGCAGGGTTTTCTTTCAGATCCCGCTACAGTTGGAAACGTCCCAGGCAGTTGTTCAAAGAGATCAGCATCAACATCTTAATCGTGTTCGATGTACAGCATGGACGCCGCAGTGGTGGTCAACTCTCGAAATCGAGCGACCCTTCGACATCGCGTTGCCTCCCCCAGTTCCCAAGGATTTGGTGTCCGTCTTGAGCTGGTCATGTTCGAGTCTTGTGGATAAAACAAGACCTTGGTTGAAGCATTGCATGTCTCCTGCAATTCTTGAATTTTGGATAATTTTGGTTTGGGGCACCTATTTGTGGGTCATTTGACATGTCGAATGAAGAACAATTAAGCGAGGGGTTCATTTGAAAGGGTTGTCGCCAACGGACACCATCCAGAAAATAGATTTGAGGAAAACCATTACATCCATTTCTTATTTCTTGTATAGAAGGATATTGTACTACATTGTACGACATTTCGTGACCTGCCTTGTCGCGCTGCTTTTGTCCTTCTTTTCGTATCAGAAGGCGCAAGATTGAAGCCACGATGTTGATTTTTCACGCGTGACGTGACAAAGACCGAAGCTTGCGTTGCTCGGTTTGGCTGGACACCGGAGGCTAAGCAAGGCAGCAAGTCCAAGCTGGGTGAAGTGAGAAGCCTTCTTCAGAAGAGGTATCACAACTCAGCTCCCCTGTTTCCAATGAACTCCGGGAGGCCAAGCTGGTTACCGGTTGATTCTTCAGTGTAAGTCTTCTCTACTTCAGGCTGATTTGCACTCCAAACCTTCTGAGAAGAGAAGGTAAGGAGTGCATAACAGGGATACCCTCAGTCATATCCTAGGCAAGAATAAACATCTATAGAAATGGTCATGACCACAAGTTGGGTTATGCTCAAGATGCTTCGCAGCTTCACATTAATTTACTATGTTTTGACATGTGTGTATGAATATGTGTATGTGTGGGTGGTGTGTGTGTACAGTATTTGTGTTTTTGTATGTTACAATAATCAATATGCCTGGATGACTACTTTGGTTCTGCGAGCTCTGGATCTTGCGAGGTCTGTCTCGCCACTTTTTTTTCAGCCGATCCTTGATGCATCCATCCCGATCCATCCCCTATCGCCCTTGCTCCGTTCGTAGCGATGCCCTTTGTTACTAGTAGCATCCTTGCTCCGTTCGTAGTAAGGCCAGGAGCCCCTAGTTAGTAGCGGCCTTGATGCATCCAGCCGATCCATCCGCGACCCACCCGATGGATCACCTGCAGGAGATGAGACCCGATGATCTCGATGACCACGAGCGGCTGCCGAAGGTTCGGTGCGCGAGTTGATTCGATCGGAGCTGGTTGGGAAAAGGAGATTGACAGGATGACATCCCAACAGGCAAGGTGGAAGGATCGTTGTTTATGTCGTTTCTATACATATGATCCATGGGTTGACTTGTGGCTGGTGCAAG